GGATAAGAAGGAAGAGTGAGGGCTTAAGCCACGCCCCCTTTGGGGTGAAGCCACGCCCACCGGACCAGACCACGCCCCTTCGTCAAGGCTCAAGCCACGCCCCCAACTCCAGGTTTAAGCCCCGCCCATTCAACCAGGCCACGCCCCCTCCTCCTCTCCCTTGGGTTGGGGGGGGAAGGACTTGATTTCTAGGGACCCCCCCCACCCCGCCCCACACTTGTGGGGCTGCCCCACACGCTGGGGGGGGTGGCTGTGGGTCTGAGCCCCACATTTTTTTTGGGGGGGGGGAGAACAATGGGGAGCCCCTCCCCCCCCCAATGGCTTCTGCTTCAATAAATACGTGGGATCGGGGCGGGAGTGGATCTGTCGCCCCACAGCCGGCCCCACACATTCCATGGGGAGCCCCACACATTCCATGGGGAGCCCCCCCAGCCCCACACATTCTATGGGGAGCTCCTTCCAGCCCCACACATCCCCTGGGACCCCACAGCCAGCCCCACACATCCTCCGGGGACTCCCCTCTGGCCCCACACATTCTATAGGGAGCTGTCTCCAGCCCCACACATTCTATGGGGAACCCTCTCCAGCCCCACACATTCTATGGGGAGCTCCTCCAGCCCCACACATTCTCTAGGGTGGCATTCCAGCCCCACATATCCCATGGGACTCCTCCTCCAGCCCCACACATTCTATAGGGAGTCCCTCCAGCCCCACACATTCTACAGGGAGCTCTCTCCAGCCCCACACACTGCCCAGAGATGCCCCCTACTCCAGCCCCACATATTCCCTGGGACCCCACAGCCAGCCCCACACATTCTATGGGGAGCCCCCCCGGCCCCACACATCCCATGGGACGACTCCTCCAGCCCCACACATTCTATAGGGTGGCACTCCAGCCCCACATATCCCATGGGACTCCTCCTCCAGCCCCACACATTCTATGGGGAGCCCCCCCGGCCCCACACATTCCATGGGACTCCTCCTCCAGCCCCACACATCCCCTGGGGCCCCCCCTCCAGCCCCACACATCCCCTGGGGCCCCCCCTCCAGCCCCACACATTCCATGGGGAGCTCCCTCCAGCCCCACACATTCCATGGGGAGCTCCCTCCAGCCCCACACATTCTATGGGGAGCACCCCCAGCCCCCCAACAGGGTCCCGAGCCCCACCGATGCTCCACGGCCTTTATTGGCACAGTGCACAGGAAGGAGGGCACGCTATGGGGCAGGCCGTGGGGCACACTATGGGGCAGGCTATGGGGCACGCCGTGGGGCAGGTCGTGTGTCCCTCCGTCCCGTCTGTCCTTCTTCCAGCACCGTTGTTGGGGGGGGGGCCGTTCCCGCTATGGGGCGAGGCAGTGGGGTGTCCGCCCCACACGCTATGGGGCAGGCTTTGTCCATCTATGGGGCGCCTGCCCCACACGCTATGGGGCAGGGTGTAGGGCCCGTGCCTGGCTGCGCAGCGCTTCGAACTCCCTCTGCACGAAATCCGTCAGCGCCTTCCGCATCTCCACCTGTGGGGCAGGACCCATAGATCCCACAGGTGTGGGGCAGAGCAGCGTGTGTGTCCCCCCTCCCAGCCCCCCAGCCCCACAACCTGCCATGGGGCAGCCCCACAAGTGCTCACCGTGGATGTACCCTCAGCCCGAAGCCGCTCCAGGAGGGGCCGGACGCTGAAGGGTCGCCCCACAACCACCGTGATGCGCTGTGGGGAGGGGGG